CCCCTGCGACTTTTGGGAGCTGGCGGGGAGGACAAACACCAGACGATGGTCAGGGCCAGGGTTCTGGGGCGCCGGGCCCGTGGGAACCTCGGGAGGGAGCCCGGGCCGGGGCCGGTGCGGTAACTGGTGCGGGAACGGGCCGGGGTGGGGGTTGGGGGGTGGGGATCGGAAGGTCGCGCACCAGCCTCTCCTGTAGCTGGCATTGCTTGACCTTGGACAGGTGACCTACCCCGTAGACCTGGGGGCCGCAGGAGGCTAGAGCTACGGAACCCACCGTGTCTTCCCGGTTTGAAAACACATCTTGGTCAGAGAATTTCCCTGGGGCCTCAACGTGGTTCGCGAATTGCGAAGCCGCAGGCCCGGGTACGTTTCCGTGCGCCCGGAGTCACCTTTCAGCCTGCGAAGTAACTTTTACGACTGATGTTTTTTCAACATTACTATGAGAAGGCTTCTTTCAGTGAAAAGTAAGTTACCCATTACTTCTTAAAACCTTTCTTAAGACTGGTCTACTTTGCCGCGCCGGTTGGAGTTCTAGGGGCCAGGCGAGGGACAGAGACCCGAGCTTAAGGGTCAAGTGTCAGGTGCCCCCAGCAATCCCTTCATGCCTTCCTGGCTCCGTTTAGCGGTAAAACAGGGCTTTTATTTTACGTAGGAGAGAGTAAACAGGGCAGGTGTTTTTTTGTTGTTGTTTGTCTGTATTGCTTCTTTCTATTGAAAACTTCTGTGTGGGAAAGGGGCGGTTCTAATTTACGACAAAGAGGGAAAAGAAAATGTCACTTAATGTCAACCAGGGTAAATCTTAAGCTAATATAATATACATCTTCCTTACAGGAACAGTAACACATAATGCAAGTACATCTTGGTCTAATTTTAATGAAGGATTGAAAATAGCTGCTGTGTTCAGTATCACTGACGCCAGAACGGTTCACTTACATAATCATCTTTGTTGCAATGTGTTAGTGACATGTATAATTTTGATAAATTATTAATGTTCAAGGTTTGGCCTGGCAATGGCATTGAAATACTGTCTTTGCAGGTTGTGTTGCAATACAGTGGAGTGTTAACTTTTGGTTATCTTGCATTTTTGGTTACCTATGCATTTTTTCCCGTAAAAAGTGGCATCAAGCATTTTCCCTAACCAAAAGTCTCTCAATTATGGAATGTATACTGTCAGTACTGAATATAGGAGAAGTGATTTTGTTCCCTCAGTGATAGATTCCCCAGGTTTTTCACCATTCATGGAGTGCCTTCTAGATGTCAGGTGCTCTTTTGGGCATTTTTTCTTCTCGTGGAGCTTAGAACAAGAAAAGTTGTTGTTGTTGTTTTTTAATGTAAGTACATAAATATACTTAGCAAATATTTGCTGGATAAAATACCAGGTGCTTGGATGAAAATAATTAAGATTCTTCTTGCCCATCCTTAAAGAGAATTATTATTATGCTTTAAGGGAAAGAAAAAAAGGTATCAAAGAAAGAACTGGTGGAAAAAAAACTGAGCTTAATTCCAGTATCCAGCCTGAAAGTTTATAGCTTCAAGTAGGGATACAGATTTCAAAAGAGACAAAGAACCCTGATAGGGTTTCAAGGAGAAAGATAGCACTGTTGATTTAACATAGTGCATTTTATGACCTAGCTTTCTTTGAACACACACCTTTGAAGAGATGTGTTTCCTAAATAATCAGTAGCTGTTTGCATTGTGATTGAATGTCTAATTAAATAGCCTAATCATGTCCTTAATAATTTCACTTGAGTGCGGTCTGGTTTTTAAGCTCACTTTTTAAATAGTGTGAAATAAATCTTTCAGTTCAGTTGCAGGAGGAAAAGTGGACATTTTGCAATCAGTAAATTTGCTGTGAGAAAATCATCTCCAGTCTTACACTAACTAGAAAGTAAGCCTTGGCAATACCATCTTGCCAAGAGGGTCTTCACTCCAGACCAGTGCTGGGTGGGTGGGGGGAGCTCCTGTGTGTGCATCGTGTGTGAGATACTGTTTTTCCTGCAGGGCCTGTGGGGTAGGTTATTTGGTGACATCAGGAAAATAAGTCCTCAACATTTGTAAGCCTGGGAACTTCTGGAAAGTCTGGTGGCCTTATTTTGAAGTGACCACCCAACCCAGAACCCAGCATTGATGTGTGAACACGCAGCTGTATTCATAGACTGAGTGTTCTCCTCGGAGCCAGCTTGCTGGTCGGGCGTCCTCATAGGGGGGCAGGGCATGGTCTCAGGGGTCGTCATCCTTAGACTCTCTGTGCTAGAATCTCCTGCAGGACTTACGGAGCTCAGACTCCTGGCACCTGCCAACACTTAGAGAATCAGAATGGCTGTGAGCAGATCCTAGAATCGGTATTCTTAACTGGAACCTGCCAGAGTGAGTTGATCACACCATGTTTTGAGAATTACCATTGGCGTTTTCTTGCCATTGTTGAGGGGAACATTAGAAAGGCATCCCCAGATGCTCACCGCTCTGATCACTTCCCCTTCGGCCCCAGACAGGTTGGCTTCATCTCTCAGTGGGACCCGGAGCCACGGAGCCCCTCAGGAACTGCTTCTGCAAGCAAACCAGGAACCCACCAACAAGCAGCGTTAAGGTGGCCTTGGGGCATGAGGCCCGGGAGATCCCCCTCCTACCCTGGGACCCCACACCCCACCCCTAGCCTGTGTATGATCTGCAGTAGTGTCAGTCCTAGCAGCCTTCTCCTCAGCTGTCGAAATAAGGTTTCAAGGAAATAACTGGGAAAGGACCCTGAGGGACAGGCGGCCTGGGAGGGAAGCGAGCAAGAACTTGGAATGGAAAGCTGTCCCCTGGACACAGTGTAGCAGTCACATGTGGAAGATTTTAGTCCAAATGCTGACGATTGGCCAGCGGGTATGTGGCTGAACCTGGGCCCCAGGCCCTCTGTTGTCAGAACTTTCATCTTCAGACCCAGGATGGCTCCCATAATTTTTGTATCCATCAAATCCCCAACAAGGAAGGATTTTCATATTGATTGGAAACAAAGGGGAGCGTTCAGGAGAAAGGTTCAAAGCCTAGGCTGAGAAGTCAGCCCCACCAGCGTCAAATCCTGGCTTTGCCGTTTTCTCCCCAGGTGACCTTGAGCTGCGTCCTTGACCCTCCAAGCTTTGGTTTCCTTAACTTGAAAAATGAGGATAATGGTACCTGCCTCCCAGGAGTTGTTTTGGGAGTTATGTAAGATTATAAATTATGTAAGATACAAATCAGTGACAGATAACTGTAACTCAGTATATATTCCAAATGTGCTATAGCTTTGAATGTATTGGGTAACTTTTGAAAACTCCTTTTTTAGCCTGGGGAGTTGCTGTGGAAGAGGGACAGGAGAGAAAGACAAGCAGAAGGAGCGAAGTAGACACAGGGGAGGTCATTCTGCTAAATAGTCACTATGGGGCAGAGGGACGAGGGACTGGAGGAGGATGCAGGGGGCAGTGCCTGCGAAGAGCCTATCCCCTATCTCCCTGGCTCAGGGGCTACTCCTTAACTCTTCTCCCTTTTTGTACCACCTCATTTTGCACTTTATATACTTTTCAGACTCAGTTTGAGAAACATCAGTTACGTGGTCCGCCTCAAAATTTTAACCCTGGATTTGGATTTTAGTATCAGTCACCCTCAACCTGCAGGGACTCAGGTGACGGCTGTCTCTCCTCTCGGGATCTGGCTTTTGGAATTGTCAAAGGAAGAGACTTCTATCTCTGATCCCATGGGCATAGATAGAGAATTCAACTCCAAATCTGCCTTTTCAGAGAAGTGTATGCTGTCAAGGCATGGGGCCATGATTAGAGAGGCTCCTGCCCCCGACTTTTCAAAACGTCTTTACTTTCTTGTGCTTTCAGACTTTGCAAAGTGCTTTTTCTCACATCAGCTCGCTAGATCCTTACAAGAGCCCTGTAAAATAGTATTAATATTACCACAAGAGCCCTACGCGGCACCTCAAATCTTTCTCTCTCCACTTCCATTCTCTCTTGCAGACCTATTGCTAGGTTAGCCTTGGCATCTTTGCATCAGTTTTCTGAAGTCAAAATCCCTTCATCACTCTCTGTGTGTCCCTTCTCCATGCTGGCCTTAAAACCAGGGTCCCCATCCTACTCTGAACTCCTCTCTGTGAGTTACTGGAATACGGTGGCCTCCCTCACCTCAGACTGCTGCCTCTTCAGTGACACCTCTCAGACCATCCAGATTCTACCCGTTTGCAGTCTCCAGCTCCTCCTGGAGCCTTTCCAGGTCATGTTAAAGCTTCTGTCTTCCTCTGAATTCCAGGGGTAACCTGGCCTTAAAGTCCTGATGGAGAAAAAGTCTATGACAGAGACTTGGTATAGAGGAGAAAGCACTGGACTGAGTAGGTTTTAGAGACTTGCTGTCTAATAAGGAGCCATGGGAGCCAAGCTAGCTTGCTCCGCCTTCATGGGTCCACATTGCCTGAGTCGCGGAGGTGGAGGGGTCTGGACCCGGTTTGTTGGTGGTGTCTTCTCTTTCTAAGGTTCTGGGACAACGCGACCTTCCGTGCGTGGGATGGACTGGGGCTCTTGCTGAGATCCTGGGTGAAAATGCCAGCACTGGGCACTGGATGCCTTCAGGACTTGTTCTGGCCCACAGATTCCTGATGCCAAACCAGACAGGTTTTGAACACCATGTACTTTTTTTGGTAAGCTTTTTAACCGCAAGCCTTCAAGGAAGGTTAGTTGGGGATGAGTTAGCAGGGCAGTGTATTAGGGACAATAAAGGGTTATCTCTCTGAATGACTTCCTGTGATGGGAGAAACAGGCTCTGCTATTGGATAAACCTTAGTCCTCACGTGTGATTGACTGCGCATGTCATCTTCATTGGATGGTGCCCTGTAGCAAACACAGTTTTCTTTTTAATCACTTCATAACTTGAAAAACATTAATAAAGTAGTCAAAACGCTAGGCTAGATGCTAGATGACCTCTCATGGTAGTCTGGTTGGTGACGTGTTGTAAGTGTGCATATGTGTTTACGTTTGTCACACGCACGTCACACTTAGATGAGGAAGGATACCCCAAGTTGTGAGGTGCTGTTGTACATTGACCCGACCTAAGAAGAATATCTCTTTAAAGTGTGTTGACATTTAATTGACCTTTAAAAGTTCATTCTGTTAATCATACTCCAAGTGCCAAAGCTATGGTTGACTGCTCTGGTGTTTTTACATTCAGTCGTGCTTAGCATATAAATTCTGCAGCATAATCACTACTTATTTAGCGAGAGTTTCCTTTCCTCCCTGAAAAATGTGAGTTGGGTTTTATTTTTGTATCTTTTTTTTTTTTAAACTTTGCTTCAGGCTCAAGAGTGTCAGATTTGAACTGAAATCCTTTCCTGTCATTAGTTGGATGGGGTGTGGCTTCTTAATACAGGAGGCATGGAAATTTCATGCGTGGCTGAGGCATACTTTTCTTCTGACAGAAGTTAGACCTCTTCAAGGTAAAATGCTAAAATGTA